CAATAAGAACAAATGTCTGTATAGACACTTCAGTGGGATTTTTTTGATGTTGTGTGCTTTTTCTTGCAACCATCTATTTATAGTATCTTTAAGTCAGTAAAATTTCAGAAGCAATGTTTTACTAGCTGACATCTGAGAAGTCTACTCTAGTAATTTGACACATTCCAGGAAATGAATTGTCTTCTCTCAAGTCCAGAAGAAAGCTTAATTTTATCCCAGAACTTTCTTAAAACTTAAATGTGTTCGAATATGCAAAGAAAAACAGACGCCTGCCGCTAGTTTACGGAATGTGTTATTGTAAAAAATTTCACCATGGGAAATAAATGAGAATTTGAAACGAAAGCAGGGATAAAAACCAGTCTGCCGTCGTTAACCATGCAACGTTAGCTTACGGTATGGTTTCTTGATCGAACAGAAAATTTTCCATGAAATGCGATATTTTTATTTTGATTAATTGGTGATTTCTGAAAGCGTTCTGCAAGCCCCAAATTGAATAAAATGGTCCCGTTTTAGACTTAAACCATTCGTCAATCTCACCGATACAAATTTATCAAGTAGATGCGAACCTCCTTTTTTTGCGTCTTTCATGAGCAAAGTTCATTTGCCTCTACTCGGGGCACTGGTTTCCACCATTTTACGGCTACCGACGTTCGCTTCAGTTTTCGCGAATTTTCTAGAATAAAGAAGCAAATCTGGGAGGAAAACTTTATCACGTTTCTAAGTTCACTGTACCGTACCTCTGACTGAAATATGAGGGTAGTCATTTTCGGTCGATGTGCCAGTCCTCACGCGGTCTTAAAAAAAATATGCTCTTAACTATTGATGCCAAAAAATTTGAGGGGCAAATAAAATGTGTACAATTATAAAAGACATTATGTAATCAGTTTTAAATATGTAGAGTATTACTTGAATATATTATTGCGGTAAAACACCAATGAATTATAAACTAAAGCTAATATCAAACGACGATGGATAAAAAAGTTTTGAATTTTTCCTGAGCTTAACTTAAAAGAAAACTCAGATAAGAATCAACTTCCTTCCGGGCTCTCCTTTTCGGTTCCTTTGTGCTTTGCTTTTTCTTTGTTGTAGACTTTTTTTCAGTCTTTTTTTCTGGGGCTTTTTTTCTTCGTTCTCGTGCCACTCTTCGTTAGATAATCTCCGTTTTACATCAGTCTTTAAGTCGTTTTTGGCGTTCCTCTCGTTCCTCTTGCCGTGTAAATACTAAGAATCAATAAGCTTTCAACTATGAACTAGTCAGTATAACTTCCTGCTGAAAATGCAGGTTGTAAATTCCTTCGCTTGCGCAGCTTCAACTCTGCTAGCCCGCGTGAAGCCCTCGTGTAATCGCTAACTGGATGCTCGCGGTACTTGGCAACGAACTCCGGCAGTAGTGTACTTCATCACTCTGTATCTGAGCTTCTAAGCGCACACGAATGTCTCTCCAAATTAAGCTTGCGACCACCCTTACGCATTACCTATTCCATTTCCCTTTTGCCTACGTAATAGCCAAATTTTGCTCGCGGTACTCGGCAACGAACTCCGGCAGTAGTGTACTTCATCACTCTGTATCTGAGCTTCTTAGCGCACACGAATGTCTCTCCTAATTAAGCTTGCGACCGCCCTTACGCATTACCTATTCCATTTCCCTTTTGCCTACGTAATAGCCAAATTTGAGCCCGCAATACGGTTGCCCGCGCATGCTAAAAGTAGTACCTTGGACGGTAGGTCATACGAAAACACACTAAACCAAATTTTCTCGCCTTGATGGGCTATTACTAAATTTCATAGGTATGGGCCACCCTGCGCGCGCTGCGGGCTAAGCCATGACAGTCAAGCGCTACACCTGAGTTTATGGGTATATAGTATACATTAGATATTATATAGTATATAGTATAAAGTATATAGTGTGTAGTATATAGTATCATTCCTTGTCAGTGCTACGACATACGTTCTTACTGATTTTGTTATTAATACTTACTATAAGATGTTTTTATTGGGGCTGTAGTCGAAATTTGCGTCGGTGTTGGTGATGACGATGGCGTCGGCGATGACAGTAGCGATGGCGATGCTGATGCCGATGCTTAAGATGGATAATAATGGAAATCTTCGATTAGAACGAGATGTTAATTGAGCTCTTTCACTGTTTTACGGCTTTCCTCATGACATGACAGTTAGGTACTAAACCTAAGTATCTAGTATATAGTATATATTATGTACTGTATAGAATATATTACAGAGTACATATTATATTTTATATAGTATAAAGTATGTAGAATATAGTATTATTCCTTGTCAGTGTTACGACATACGTTCTTATTGGTTTTGTTATTAATACTTACTATAAGATGTTGTTATTAGAGCTGTAGTTGAAATTTGCATCGGCGTTGGTGATGACAACGGCGTTGGCGATGACAGTAGCGATGGTGATGGCGATGGCGATGGTGATGATGATGCCGATGCTAAAGATGGGTGATAATAGAAATCTTCGATTAGAATGAGATGTTAATCGAGCCCTTTCAAAATTGTACGGCTTTCCTATTAGCACATGTTCAAATATTTTCCAAAATACTGGGTGACCGCATTGTGTGACGAGACCAAAAGGGAGACAACGGTAAGCGTGGCATCGATTAATTTTATATTTGCTTGGATTTTTGCAGATAATAGAGACAATAGACCACAAAATACCTGTGTGAGTTCAAATAAATTAAGTTTTTTTTTTTTATCTTAAGGTGAAGTTATTCGACATTTTCGTTATTTTAAAAGTTATGCTCTTTTTCTGTCAGAAAGCTGAAAGCGTTAGGAACACAAAATGTCCCATCTCAACCCTCCCGGCCAAAATAATAGCTTTTGCATGCCTATGTTTATCTTTTTGGTAAGCAGAACATCAATTAAATTCCAACTCAGTATTGACTATTTTTTAAACAAGAAAATGTATATACGCCATCTGGTGACTGTCAGACTAATGATTCTTTGCAATTAGTATTCACCATCATTTTGTTCAATCGAAAGGATAAATCAACTACATAAAAATAACTGATGATTGAAAGTCTTATAACTTTTCTTACTCGTAACAATAGTGATGGAAACAGAAGCATCTTGAACTTTCCTCTGCACACAGGATTGAAAGTTAGACATTTATATCGTAAAAAACGTTCATTGAGATTGTTTCAAACATATTTTCATTTACGCAAAGGTAACTGCAAACTTGATTCTGACTGTCAGAGGATTTACATAAATTCTGTTGTGAGTATCACAAACTTTAGCAAAGAATTTTTTTTAATGCGCCTAAGCGCCTCCGGTGCCCTCTAGTTTACTCAAAATAATATTACAAAAACATGCAACAACAAAAAAAACTTACCCATGGAAATCTCACAAATATAAGCGTGCCACTTTTCCCAAATTGTAACATTGCTAACACCACTACCAAACACGCCCCGTTCGCCATTACTAGACAGCTTGTACATGAATGCCGCGTCGTGTTCAGCACTTGGCTCCCCTTGTCCCCATTTGCAAATAGTCAGCGGTCTTCCACTCACCCAGGTCCAATTCGCGGCCCCTTTGGTTAAACCAATACTCCATTTAATGTCAGAGTGGATATTATTTCGCCTTTGAATCTCGTCATTGATGAAACTCCATTCCTCTTCGGTTTCAATGGAAACTAGATCCCCTCCTTGGTTTTGGCAGGTGACTCTGTTCCAGAGCCAGTATCTTCCATACGCCGAAAATATGTACCAAGAGTTTTGAAAAGTTACATTTTGCCATTCTACAAAATGATGAAAAGGAAAACAAAAATACTAATTATCATAATGATGATAAACAAAGTAATAATTCTAATAATGATGGTAGCATAAAAAGGTTATAATCACAATGACAATAAAGAAAAAAAAACAAATGAGATGGAAAACAGTTTAATCAGTGTCAGTTAATACAATACATCTTTCATAACTATCTCTGACCTGTCTTTCTGAATTATTAACTACACATCAGCTAAGAGTATCTGTGAGTTCGTATAATTTTGGTAGTTGAGTTTTTGAATATTAACTAGTTGCTCGTTGACACCTCCTTCCCCCCCCCCCCCCAAAAAAAAAAATCTGGACAGACTTCAAGTAAGTTCCCAAGAATGTGCAACTGGAGATACACAGTTAACTGTATACAGTTGATATGGAAAAGGTTGTAGGAAAAAAGAGCAAAAATTTAAAGTGCACGCGACAATCTCAAAAGATTATATGCGAAACGGTAATCAATATGGAAATAAAAAGTAAAGATAAATTAATTAGGGTAGGTTCTTGTTTTTCGTTTTTCATGCATTTTAGATTTTGAAGTCAGTCTTGTAAATTAAATAGGCTCATCCAACCCGTGATGCCTGATTTCCCTGAAATCCTGAGGTCGTCTAACTACGACCTGAAAGCTACCTGCAGTACCTTTCGGGGTTATTGTTTGCACTTCCGACAACCTCTCTCGAAAGAAAAGTATTTATTATTTGTTTTTCTCAGAGGGCACGGTAACGAATTCTGCAATCTTATGGGTTCTTAATACGCTCCGGATTTTCGTTTTGCCAGCTGGGCAGTATTTTTAAGCAATTCATTTCAAGGCAAATCAAGCCGATTAATAACTTATTATTAATCCCTTCTTTCTCTCTTCCTAGAATCACTTTGGTTACCAGCGAAAAAACATGGTTTTGAAATGAATTTTATCAGCAAATGTCATCAAATGGGTTGACACGCGGCCTAAAAACCGCTTGTAATTAACCTAAACCTTCACTAGAAGTAACTCGGAAAGTTAGAACGTAACGTATGTGTTTAAATTGAACTAATTAAGGAACTTTATTCATTTTATATCTGAATTCTCTCAAACAATTTGTCCATTAAAAACAGTGAACGAAGTGTTCAGTTCTATACTTCAAATGAGCTTTCGGTAAGTTAGGACATTTCTATCGTAAATTTCACAACAGAAAACGAAGGAATTCAACGAGAAAAAGCTGCATTAAAAATTCACTTTTTGATTAAAGACCAGATTTAACGACGCGATTGGACCAAACAAACGAGCAAACTCCCACAACTTCAAAACATAGATTTAAATTTGCTTACAATTACTTTCCATTTACTGACTAAGCAGAGTTGTACTTCGTTCATCAAAAGTCGTTGGAAGTAATACTTTCCGTAGGATCATTGACTACTTTTGAAAAAAAAAATTGTCGCCACAGTCATTGAACTTAAGTTAGTTTGCCAAACCAGTGCAGTTGTTGTTGTTGTTTTTTTTTTTTTTTAAAGCGTGCATGCGCTTTTTTTCTTACGTGCTCTCTTACTGACAGGTGTCAGAGTGTGACAGATACTTGTAAAAAAATGTTTTGAAGTCTCTTTGGAAGCCTTCTAAATCACCCTTTTCCTTATACAAATAAAAATGTTTCGTTGAAGCCTCTCTTTCATTTGCATTACCTAAGTCTGTTTCAACTACCATTTACTCGCTCGAAAATTGTTCATTTCACGGTGGATCTTTGCCGTAATTACAACCCTCAATCATTAGGGTCCTTTTGGAAAACATTTCGTGAAGTTTAAAAAAAAATTGTTATTCACCAGCCTAGGTCAGTCCGTATTGGGGAAAACTGTACACTCTTTCTTAAGTAGCGGTACTCAAGACCTTACGCACAGTCTTACCCAATACGAACCCCCCGGCCGGTGAATAACATATTTATCACTGACTCATACAAGAAATACACATGCGCACCCACCCTCACACAAAATATAGAAATACTTCAATGTGTCATGTTCAAAACAAAATGCATAAGCTCACTGACCCCAGTGAACACACCTTGTAACTTGTGGGGAAGGAAAATTCCGTTGACTAGATTATCCCAATCGCAGCCCACTTGACAAAAGTTGTGAAATGTACAATTTCGATCGCTGTTATTTCAGCTGCAGGCGATGCAAAAATGGCAACTCTAGAGTGATATGGCAAGGGCATTGAGTTCAACTGCTAATGCGCGCTTAAAAGTTCCTTCATCGCTCAAACGTACAAGTTGGGTGAGCTGAGCATATTCTGTGCACAATATTTTTAATTTCAGAGGCAAGAGTAATTTTCATGACAAAAGTGTAAGAGTAATGTTTCAGCACATAATGTAGTTTATGGTTGGAATGTGATCTTACCTCCGGGCACCTCGCAGATATAGGCTTTATCATCACACTTAGAGATACCATTAAAGACGCCTCCGTTCTCGGATATTTCCGCGTAACTGTCGTGAGAATCTGGCTCAAGATATTGCCATTTCGAAACATTCAGTTGTTCTCCACTCTCCCAAGTCCAAACCCCGTCTCTCTTCCTTAAACCAATGTGCCACGTACTAGTGTTCCAAGTACCACGCTTTCGAATCTCATAATTGATAAACTGCCATTTTTCTTCAGTTTCGATGGAAACTAAGTTACCTCCCTGGACGATACAGACAATCCTGTTATTAGACCAATCTCTTCCGCTTTTGGAAAATATGTAAGAGGAGTTTTTGAAATAGGTTGCTAGGCACTCTGTGAAAAAAAAAAATGAATAAATAAATAAACCCAAAAAATATATATGCTGATAACCATAGTGATAACGATAGTGATGAAGACGAGAAAGAATTTTTTTATTATTAATTTTGATAACCAAAAATGGGCATCAAAACCCTAAACCTCACTGAAACAAAAATTAGAATTAGGCTAGATTTTACAAGTGGAAATTGGTGAGATCTGGGCTGGGTTGTTCAAAGCTGGGTTTAGATAACCCAGGGTTAGTGTGAAATCGGATTTCAGCTCTGGGAGCTTTAAAGGAAAATTCAGTAGAATTCTTTTTGTCAACAATTTGATGATTAGATGCTCCATATAGAGTAGAGGAAAATGATCCCAAAAAGGCTATCGAACAAAGAAGTATAGAAACCCAGATTAAAATTTAAGCCTGGGTTAGCGCTAATCGGCTTTCGAAAAACTGGGCCCAGGGTGATAGCACCGTTATTCTTTGTCTTGCTTTCCAACTTACGTTTTGAATTACAATCCGACGTAATTCTAACAGGAAGTCTATGACTAACTATTATGATAAATCAGTCAGATATTATATTTTTCTTCTAGTTCATTTTCAGGTACATAAAAATTTCATTGGAATTACTCTACTCCACCTGCTCCTGGAAATTCCATCATCACATGAAGGATGACTGTAGAAGAAAAAATGAGCGGATCAATTGATTGTTATCTCAAGGATAAAATTTGAAACAATGAAAAAGTTTATAAGATTTCGAGTTAGACTAGCATTGATGCATTTTATTTGCTACATGCAATTTTACATCCACTCGAGGCTTCTATTGCCTTCCCTAAGGAACTGACGGATAAATTTTAAAAAATGGAGCATCTCCGCAATTTACCAACCAGCTTAACAAAACTTGTTCCATGTGGAAAACATTTTTAAGGATACGGTAGACATTGGCAAATGTCCCTCCGAAAAAGTTTTTAAATGGGCCATTCACAGTGCAAACAAACTATAAATAAATTAAAAGCATATAAAAAGCTTCATCCGATGGCTCTACGCGAACCTTTAGGCTGGAATTCGTAATGCAATGCCGAACGCCAATAAAAACACAGAAGTGTCCCGCGGTGTCTCAGGAGACTGTCAGCAATAACATATTTTGCCGGTAGAAGTTTTCCGCACCAGAACTTAGTTAAATAACCCGCTGGCCGGCCATTTCGATTTCATGTCTTTTATTTTTTTCAACTTAAAAGCGGCCTAAGCACACTTCGGCAGAACTCGTTAAAGGTTGCTGATCGAGTGCTCGTCGCTTCAACCACGAACCCTTATCCGTTTCGGTGAGTTTCTTCAACTGTTCCGCATCGAGTTTCCTTAATTCTTGTGCTTACAGACAGGATTCTTTTCTTACTTTCACCAAAGGACTCTTCCCTCTTTTTATTTTCGCCATTCATAGTCTAGTTTTAAGCGCAGACAAATAGCAAAGATCTCAATGTGCAACAGAAATCAGATGTTTACATGATTGAAATTGAAGAACCAGGATGTTTTGGGTGTCTATAAAACGACGACCAGCTGACTGCGGATGGCGGATGCTGATGGAAAATGTGGATAGAAAAGCCGGCTAGAGAACGACACTTGCTACTGAAAGAATCGGTGTGAGTGAGAATGATGATTGCCCCTTCGGGGCCTGGCTTAAGGCTTCTGGTTGTAATTCTGCCCCCTCGGGCTTGCACCCGCATTGCCTGCCGCTCTGCGGTCTGGCCAAAGACTCAGATCCTTCGGACCTTGAATAGAAAAGCGGAAAAACGGATAACAACAATTTTTCCCTTTGGGGCCATATTGAGATTTTAAAGAAATGAAAGGTTTGCACACTGTTAAAGGGCAAACTAAAAGCGATATTGGCGTGAGAGGCGACACCGCACATAAGTGGTTAGAGCTCAGACCATGCCGGAAAAACTAATGGATGGTATCCAATACCAGACGTATCAAGGACGCGATTTGACCTGGCAATCCCTTCTAAAGTCAATTTTCTCGAGGCAAGGCAGACAAAGTTCCTGCGACAATGGAGCAGTTCTCCCTCCATGAGTTCAGCTTGCCGAAAAGGTGTTTGAGTGTTTGCCACCCAAGAAGTATAATGAAACGGAAACGATGCTGGTGACTCTATCTTTTCAATGATCTAAAATACAAATAGCTTTTTTCTAGATTGTTTAGAACGGACTACCGTAGCCACCGGTAAGGGCAACATTCAGTGTTAAACAGCATGTCATTTTTCCCTTTTTTTTTGGTTAAAGACACAGTACCATTAAGCAGAATCAGACAACGCTGTTTCAACTCATTCGGGTGACGCTTCTAGATTTTTGTATTTTTTTCAGTCCACACTTTCTATCTGCATTTTTCCATCCGCATTTTCCCATCCGTCATCTGCATCCGCCATCCGCAGTCTCACAGACAACTGAATGTTTTGGCGATGGGGTTAAATCCAAAGCAGCCAGACGCGAATTTTATTCGTAGAAAAATTCAAAGCGCGGGAGAATTGCGTGACAAATTCAAAAATCTCCTAATGTTCACGTAGTGAAATGATTGGGCATGTTCTGATTGGACTTTGGACGTTGTTCCCATAGAACATGACGGATTAGCGTGCGGTGTAATAAAGGGAGCGGGAAAAACACGTTTTAGCTTTAAAATGGTACAAAAAGATTAAATGCGAACCTTTTATAACCCGATAAATCTCGACCTCAATCGACGAAGCTCTTGCGAAGTCCACAATCATTGCATTTATCAAATCAGCCCAAAATTTCCGGTTGACGTCATTCTTTGTGCACGGCCCCCCTGATTCCGTGTCATCATTTGCAAGAACAATACCCAAACAACATGACTGTCACAAGATATCCGAATGCTGTGTATGATTGATGAGAAACACATACCCTAATGTAGCGATCTGATTGGTGCGAAATACATACCCTATAATGCGGCAATCTGATTGGTGCGAGATAAATATTCTAATGCAGCAGTCTGATTAGTGCAAGCAACATACCACTCTACACGCTAACGTAGAGTTATTTGTTTTCATAAAAAAATAACTCAATAAAAAATACAAACCATTGGCTCTCGAAGGCTTGCCGTATCCTTAATCAAAACGAAATTGATTTTCAAGTGAAATTCTGCCCCATAAATATGGAAAAAGGAAGTGATCTCTGTATGGTAAACACCAAACGTACATGGAACAACTAGATACTAGTGAAAAACGGCGCTGAAGGATTAATAAAAGGATTTAAAATACCAGGAGAAATTTCCCACTTGTTGCTGTTCTGCTTATTCAAGACATATGAAAAACAGAAAAAAAAAATAGATGGAGGAAAGCAAAAGAGACAATCTCTATTGTTCATAGAGTCGAGCACCACCAGCAAAGAGAGAAAACGTTTTCAACCAAAGATGTTGACAGCGGTTGTGTGCTGCAAAAAGTATTAATTGAAGAATAATACGCAAAACAGCTTTAATCTGTTATCTATCTCTTTCCTTTTATTTTGTTTGATTGAAGCTCAAAACTAATATGGAAATGATAAGAAATTGCGGTGAAAAATGCCAAAACATTATCCGGCTTATAGTCGGTTTGTAACTGTGCCTCGAAGTAACCGGGATGGGCGCCGATTCCTTTAGGCAACGACTTCAAATAGCTTCAAATGCTTGGAAAAAAGCAAATACTTGTGCCCCATAGCTGTGTTTTTCCGAAATTTCCCACCGCCGCTGACATTTGAAGATAATTCATTCATTTTCATCATCGAGAGGTCGAACGTATGGATTAGACATTTACTTGTATGTTCAAATAGTTCAAAATTGTCGCTTCTCGGAACAGATAACTGTAAATATATACACCTTATTCGATGCCAAAATTTTGCAAGTTGCGTGGTATTATTCCATGGCAAGAGAGTGCCGTTGGGGAACCATTGAAGGGGTGGAATTGTATAATTAACCGTCTGCAGGGTTTTTGCGTCCGTTTAGAGAAGAACATTCAACAACTGAAGCCGATAAAAATAGTCGAGGAAGTAGGGAGTAAATTAAAAGGGAAATAAAATATAAACCCGTCACAAGCTGAACTGTCGCTGACAGCATCCATTGTAAAAAGTCCTTCTCCAAACTTGCCTTCTATTTACCACAATTATAGTTTTCTATGTAGCGTTTTTATAAAATGAGCACGAATGTAACTCCCAGTTCTTTTCGTGCAAGATTGTTCAAGCGAAATGTCTAAATAAGTTTTTGTCGACGAACTTAATTCGTTTTTTCGCTAAAGAGATCTTACTTGGTGTCTGTGTATTTCTCGGGTGACATCTTGTCACAGTAACTTGAGAGGTAGAGAACTATGCGATTGTGTTCCTGAAACCCTCCATAATTAATACTTCTGACAGGTTTTGCAGTAAACATCAATTAAGACACAACAATGGTGAATAATAACTATCATTGAAATTTTAAAACTACAAAAGCTGTTTTATTGTGGTTATCTGTTTCCAAATCATTTTGCATCTTAAAAAACTAAAAACTACATTTGTAGACAATTTTATTAAAAACAAATAAACGTTAATAAGTAACGACGTTTCGATCGCGCAACGGTCATTTTCAAGCTGAAGAATTAAATTTTTATCATGCGCTTCTTTAATCAATTGTAAAAATGCTAATGAGATGCTGACTAAAGCTCTAAAATATTTATATAGAAACAATAAGAGAAAATTGTGGGAAGAACGGTAAGAAACGCTAAGGTGAAAGAAACAATATCAAAAGTAAATCTAGAAGGTAAATACTTTTGCACGGAAATTTATTTGTTCTCCTTTTGAGGTGTACATCAAGGTTTTGAAGTCATCACAGGCTTGAACTTCAGGTTTATAGGAAATATGCATATGCATATGTTTTCAACATTAAAACGGAAATCGTGACTACTTCGAATGACGTTACTACGTGCCGTACAGGTACAAGCAGGTGTTGTGAAAAAGTTTGAGAGGATTTTTCGTTAGTACACATTTCTTTTCCTAGGAATCTTGTTTATCCGGCCCACGCCAAATTCTAATTTTCAACCAAATTTTCTTTCCTTCACAAACATTTTACTATGTGCAGGGATTGTTCGTGGCCCTAAAAGTATAGTCATTAAAGTTTGGCGCACAGGGTATGCATGAAATTCGTGTAATAAAATATTGCATCATCTTAAAACTAGTTTATCAGAATAAGAATGAGTTATCAGGCACAAGTATGACTTTTCAGGATGAAAGGTTTCAGGTTTAAAAAAAAGTCACTTTCCCTTTGAATATTTCCCCTAAATAAATGGCCTGCTAAACTCCTCAGTTACTTTGCCATGATTACCAAACCTCCTCAAAACATTGGCAACAGGAACGTTTAAAAAATTAATGACACAAACGAACGAGCCTATTCCCTCATACGCCTTCCTCAATCCTGGCAGCTTATTCTGGACATGAATAAAGTTACTAAAAGAAACTGTGATGCTGCGTCGGTGGGAGAGTATAACAGGTAACTGAATTTAGTGTTAACAACTGAGTTGAAAACGTAAATTAGCCACCGTGAAGAGTTTGAAATACTTTCCAAGTGCTATAAAACTTTAAGAACATAAATTACCGGAGTTCACTTTGTTTGGATGAGAGAGCCCGATAAAAGCCACCGACAAAATCATCTTCTTTCCGGTTGGATTTCGCTTGGAGCTACAGGATGTTCTGATACCGAAATATCTATATCTATATTTAACCAGTCACTATTTGCTGAACATTTCTATAGTATAACCACAAGACGTAGTAGAGCATCATTTGTACTTACTCAGCGCACCGTGTAAAAACAGGGCTGTGAACATTTTACCAGATTGAAGCCCACTCATCGCCCAATTCTTCAAGCGGATGATGTACAGAAGTTGCCTCTGGCAGATGCCGGTATGCTTATGTTAGAAAGTTCTTGACTTGATAACAACGCAAGCGCGACAGATTGTGTAACGTATTAAAACTCTTTTGAAGGAGGTAATATCTCACTGACATATGTCACCACTATTTTTTTCTCTTCATAAAAGAACCAATGAGGCTTAAGGCTTGAGCCATTGTTCGCTTCATCAAAACAAGAAATTAACTATGTCGAAATAGCTATATAATTTTACATTTTCTCACAGCGCAGATAATAAGTTAATAATAAGTTAAGGTAGTTGTCTTATTTTCAGCATTTTGGCCGCCGGAAGCCTTATCGAATATTCCATCAACTGCACGGATGGAAGAAATTACCATTTATCCATTAAAGAAATGAAACTGCTCGTTGTAATTACCAACTTTACGTCGTATGACAATAACTTCACCGGTGGGACTGATTCTGTAATACATGTATGGAGAATAAACAAGGGGAATTATGAGTCTTCTCGTAAATTAAGGTCGGAACCGGGATCAGCTGGATTAAGATTTGCCACAATGCTACATGTATT